AGGTACCCTCTGGCTAAGGGTGCAAGTTAGTAAGCAAACAGAATGAATGAATAGGTCTTCATATGTACCCTTAAAAGAGCTAACCAGTAAACTTCGGAAGAATCATAGGAGAATAGATTTCAGGGCACTCCCTGTTCCCCTTTTCTGGTGCCTTGATGAAGTGGTGGTCTATAATAATGTTTTATATTTAATATGCCCTAAAATTTGTACATCTCTGATCTTCTTGGTTCAACATTCATATGTACAATTATTCAATTTCTTCATGGCAGCATTTTCTAATAGAAATCTGTTTCATTTAGGAGTTTCCAATAATTTCTGTTAACAAAGGTATTCAGAGCTTTAAATATTGTCCAGAGTAGGGTTTGACTACCCACCCAAGATAGCCATGAATACTGTGTTGTTTTATTTTGATTCATTGTAACATGCGCATATGGATTTTCTTCACTGGATTATAAACTTCTCTACCTTACATTAGGTTTTTATGTTAAAAATGAATGAATTATCCCTTTTCCCTGAGCTCACCTTGGGCTCAGAGGTTTAATTAATTCTATCTTAAAAGGATCAGACATTTAAAAGAATAGATACTGACAGGACATTGAAATTTGACTCTACACGAATTAGTGTTGTACAAAATATTCTTCTGAATTCTTGTCATTATTACTTCATTTCATCTTTGTTTCATGACTACTGAGATTCTTTTCCAATATTATCCTATTTTATGATCCAGCAGTCTGAATTCTCTTCATATCACAAAGGTCTGCGTCACTTTGAGTGTTGATATTGCCTTTTGTGGCAAAAGCCATCTGACTAGGGTTAATGTAGACTTTAAGTAGCTGATTGTGAGATAATTTGTTCAGGATTGACTAAAAATTCATAATTAAATGGAATTCTGTCTTTCTCATACTGACAATTCGATGCTGTCATATTGCCACTTTAGTCCCATAGAAAAGTAAAGTAAAGTTCAAACTATTTAGTTTTAACATCAAACTATTTATTGTAACTTCAACAACTTTTGAGATGCCTACTCCTCTTAGTTTATGGTATCATATGGACTACATCTAGATTTAAACTAGGTTAACTAAATTAACCTCAGACAAATGGTAGGAACATTACCCATTTCATCTTTGAGATTTTCCAATAGCATCTTTTGGACACAAACATTGAAGTCAAACAAGATGATTCTTATTATGGGAGCGTATGAGGACTCTACATGCAAAATAACAGAGGTACATTCTCATAGAATTCTTGAATGGTTTGTGTTGGAAAGGATTTTTAAAGGTCATCTAGTCCAACCCTTCTGCAGTGAGCAGGGACACCTTCAACTAGATCAAGTTGCTCAGAGCCCCATCCAGCCTGACCTTTAATGTTTCTGGAGGTGGAGCATCTCTCTTGCCAATCCCTTCCAGTGTCTCACCATCCTAATTGTAAAATATGTCTTCCTTTTATCTAGTCTAAATCTACCCTTTTCTAGTTTAAAACCATTACCCTTTGTCCTATCATGAGAGGCCATTCTAAAATTTTATCTCCATCTTTCTTATAAGCCTCCTATAAGTACTGAAAGGCCTTCACAAAGCCTTCTCTTCTCCAGGCTATACAACCCCTACTCTCTCAGCCTTTCTTCATAGGAGAGGTGATCCAGCCCTCTGACTATTTGTGGCTCTCCTCTGCACCCACTCTAACAGGTCCATGTCTTCTGCTGGGGACCTGAGAGCAGGTCACAGTACTCTGGGTAGTCTCATAAGAGTGAAGTAGAGGGGGAAAGTTACCTTCTTAGACCTGCGAGCCATGCTTCTTGTTATGCAGCCTAGGATACAGATGATTTTTTGGGCTGCAAGCGCACACCGCCATCTCACATCCAGCTTTTTGTCCACAGGTATCCCAAAGTCCTTCTCCACAGGACTGCTCTAAATCTCTTATTCCCCAGCATATACTGATAACGGGGGTTGCCCTAATCCAGATGCTGCACCTTGCACTTGGCCTTGTTGAATCTCTTGATATTCCTATAGGGCCACTTCTCAAGTTTGCCCAGGTTCCTCTGGATTGCATCCCATCTTTCAGGTGTGTCAACTGCACCACTAAATTTGGTGTCGTCTGCATATTTGCAGAGGGGTTGATCCCACTGTCTATGTCATTGATGAAGACATTAAACAGTACTGGCCCCAGTACAGTCCACTGAGGGACACCACGTGTCACTGAATTCAGGACAGGTCAGGCAGAAACTTTATTACCTATGATCATAATGAGAGAACCTTCCAAGTGATTGCAGAGACCCAGACTATGTAGTGTTTCAGAAAAAAAAAAAAATTCAGTGTTAATAAATCCAGGTATCCATCCCTGGGACAGACTTCTTAAGCATCTTGTTTACCGCCACAGTTCTAAGAAGGAATCAAACAGTAATAGTGTGACAATATGGAGAAATGGTTCTTGGTGGAGCCTATAGGGTTGGTACACCCACTGTCATCTTAGCTTAGGAACAATCACTGACTGTTAGCTTTTAGTCAAAAGGAGTGATTTTTTTAGTTAGGATAAACTTAGATATATCTTTCAAATCTTGAATATGAATCATTTTACCACCACACTATCCTTGATGATAATTATTTTATAATAAGGAATGAGAAGGAAAAATTAAATTAGAGAAGTCCTCTCATCATCCATTCCCGAAACCCAAGACATCTATATAGGAATAAGCAACAGATATTTGATTTACAAGACCGATGAAAAGCATTTTTCAGGAGCCAGATTTAGAATTTGAGGATTGCAGTGAAATGTAATCTGGTAGAGGTAGGACACCTTATTCTAGACCTGAGTATAGCTCTTACCACTAACTTACTCTAATTCACTCTTCACTCTACAGATTTGCTTGCTCATGTTTTCCATATGTATTTTTCTTTGTCTTTTTTGCTTTTCTCCTGTCTTGTCTTTTCACAGTGAGTAGTTAATGATTCATTCGTAACACTCTCTCATTTGGATTAGCCTCTTTGTGTTTAATTGATTTTCTGACTTTTTAAAGGGTCGTTTTTCAAGATTGCTGTCTTTTTTTTTCTCTTGCCTAAATCCCTCCTAACCTTTCTGACCAAAATAAAAACTTCTCTGAACTGAATTTTCTTGGGCTCAAATATCACCTTCAGAGCCTGTCAACTTTTTCTGCTGTCTTTGCAAACTTATTGTATTTTTCTTTCATAGACAGCATCCACATATAAAGCAATATATCATTTTGTTATATTATCTTCAAGTAGCTAGTGGTATTCTCTTTTTTTCCCAAAAAAACCTCATGCAATATTTCCAGTAAGAAAAACTGAAAGATTACATTGCTTTGTATCACTTGTTAATGCAAATGAAGAGCACCAAATTCTCAAAGAAAAGTGTTATTTGTCAAGATGACCTAGTAGAAGGTAATATAATCTAAGGTTTTTACAATATTTCTTTCCAGAGTGAGGGGTCCTGCAAGCCTTCTTAATATTCTGTATAAAATAAAATAAGAAAATAAGTGAAGTTATTGTGTTGTTGTTTGGAGTTTTGCGCATCACATTTTGTTGCTTCATGCATCCTGAATAAATCAACCCAGATAGAAAACCCCCACTCTGTATTTTATGCATGTAATTCTCAGGTATTGTTTTGTAGATCATGTTCTTTCATATAATAAATATATATACATATATAGTGAGGATTGGTTTTAACTATCAGCACAGTAAAAGTGCTTCAGCACTTGTTCCTACAACAACATTATGGGAAGATAAAAGGTTTATTTATTATGAACATTTTTAACAACTCTTATTGCATGAATGCCCTTAAGATCCTGGTGTCCACATTACTTGTTGCAAGGGATTTGCCTTATATATTTTTCTATTAGACCAGTACAATCTGGGTAAACAAGCTAAAATCTAAAATTCATTGGAAAGTGACAAAAGAATCTGTTGGTGTCCTTTAAGCACCTTTTGTGAATACAGCAGAAAAATAATCCTCCTTCTCATAATTGTCCACTGAGAGCAAAATAGACCTGTGCCTTAATGTGGAAGAAATGAATCCTCAAGCCGCAAAATTCAAATCCTGATAGCAAATACTGAAAAATCAGTATTACATATCAACCTCAAATGATCTAACAAATTACAAAACAAGCAATCACATATCAAGGAAGACTGGACTGGTAAATCTGAGATACTAATTTTGTCCATAAGAAGAGGATGAATTAATAATTATTTTTTAAAAAAATAGGAACATATCATTCTAAATTAGAATTATTTCATCTTTATTTTTTATTTCTTTGATCTTTTTTCAATGCTTTCTATGTAGTTTAAAATAATAAAATTGTTAGAAGATCTGGCACAAATAGCAGAAGTTTACCCCCCATTGCTTACAGGTGTTACCTTTTAAGATCATTGAAAGTTGCCAAAAATACTTTATGTCAAAAAGTGTGATCTAATTCTCTTTCCTTGCTATAAGACTGTTCTAACATTCCGGCAAATCAGGTTTACTATTCTGCTTCACTGCTTAATATGGCCTCAGATTAATCTACAAAGTGTCAATAAATCATAAACTCTTTTATTCATGCTCAAAGTGCATTCAATCAATTTTACCCACTACTGAGCTTCTGGTATTATCAAACATCTGATCTATCTTTGTGCATTTACTAAATAATTTAAGAATATGATATTGACTGATTATACATTATTTCAAAGCACATGAAATCTATAGTTATATTAAAATTTCTCAAGCTGACAAAAACTTGTTCATTTGTTGTTGGAAAGATATGAATAACATGTTTCTTAACAGAGAACAAAAGGTAGATTTTACATAAAAAAAGCTCTACTTATACAAAAAGCCTTTGTTAATATGTTTCTGTGTTATACCAGGGTTCTAATCTACACGTCATTCTCCTACTCTAAGATTTCAGACTAGCCTGTAGTATTCAGACAAAAGAGACAGAAAAGCCTTATTGCTTTTATTCTTTCATTTAAAAGATGGCAGAGTAATAGGAAAGGTGAACAATGGGTAGATAGAAAAGATAGTGGGCATGAGATTTGGCTGAGGTGCACTGGAATAGTCCAAAGGAAGAGAATGTCCCTACGCTTTCTAAGTCTATTCTATATACCTTGCTATGCAGCCTTTCATATTGGTCATACAACAGGCAATTTCAATAAAATGTGGTTTTTAATTTTTTCTCATCCTACAAAGAACACAACTCTTCAGTGGCATTGATAGAGGATATTTTAATTAGTGAAAAAGAGGTTGACAAAATGGCCGTACCACTTATGATGGAAGGTGCTGAAGATTGTTCTTGAAGGACTTCATAACATCAGATAGTATTTTCTACAAGCTGTAGATTGATGACGAATGTAGCTAACTGATAAAGTACTACCATAGGTCACTGTGAACAGAATGAAGGTTAGCATCATGAAAGTCTGAGTATTGTCTTACCTCCTACCTCAGTTCTTTGTTTGCTTTAAAGAATTAAGTTATATCTGACCTTGTCCTCTAGAAAAATAGGTATAGGTGCTTACCCTCAGGCCATGGATCTTGATGGGAAAAAAGAATCTAAGGTATGCTAGAGGGGAGCAGAACACTCTCTGCTTAATGCTCCCTATTTGCTGAAATTGGCAGCTCCATATTCTGTATTAAAGTTTTTTAGGGTGGCATCCTAAAGAGATTTTCTTTCTTACTGATTCTACAGTTCTTCCAAGATTATATCCAGGCACCCAGCGAATAGTTGGAAAATTAAGACTTTGCCTCGAGGAAGGATAGCCCATCATAAATCCTGTCTTGAACATTCAAACTGCTAGCATAATGAGTTTGAAATGCATTTGAAATTATAAATTTGAAATTGAATTTTAAATTAGATTTATGGTGCCAATACAAACTTAATTCTGACTCCACACTCACATTGGTAGTTATTTGTGTTCAGTGCTGCTTTTGAATTAATTGATAAGTTGAAAAAAGTTTCATGGGACTGGCAAACCTAGCAGGCATAAAGAAGAGTCAGAGGAAGTTAATGTTGATAAAAAATTGAGACAGACAAAAATCATGGAAAAGATATGGGAAACACGTTGCTCATAGAAACAGATTATGTTTTCCTTTCCTCAACACAGAATTAATAGCTGAATGCTTTAATGAGGTTTTATTTTACTAAGACTTCATTACATTTTCAAGACCTGCTACTACAGAACATTTATTAGCACATTATGAAGTGTTATAAATAATTGAATCTAAGCTGCCTTTGTCAGTTGAATAAGTGCTTGCAATTCCTAATTATTACATTTTTTGCCCCCACTCAATAGTCTGTAAAATTCAAGAGTTTTCATTAAACGTGGAACTTCCTACACCAGTGCAGACGCTCCCTCACTGAGCTGGCACTCCTGGCTTTGCCAGCTTGGGACAGGTGGGTGGTGACTTGCAAGAAGGGCTCTCTTCCTGGGTACGCTGTTTCCCTGGAGTCTCCTCTGTGCTTGTCTCACAGTGACAGAATAACTCAGAGAGAGGTTATCTGGTGCAGCTTAACATTTGTGCGATGCAGTTCCGCTGGGCAAAGTAGCATCCATTTTGGAAATCCTGAATATAGGAAGGAAAATTGATGGGATACCCTCCCCTTGGGAGGGGCTGCCCTCAGTAAGTTTTGATTGCTGTAAGTGACACAAAAATTATCTGAGGACTGTGAAAATAATAAAAATACTATCCCAGATATTCTCCCTTATGACACAATCTCGTTCCACACTAATTATTAGAGGGCATAAGTTTTTTGTATTTTGATGTTCAGCATGCCATCTTTACTAGAAAGGCAGCAACTTGTGTATCATCCTGATTGATTCAGCCATTCCTTAATTTAGTTCAGACGGTCAATCAATATTTTGTATCATGTGATGTGTGTTTTGATAAGCAAAGAATTGCCTTCTGAGTCACTTCTTAGGCACTGAATATAAAGCCACCATATCATTTATTATTCCAGTTTGATAAGCCACTGTGCTTGAATTGGTCATTGGTTAAACAGAGCTTTAGTCTCAGATTACAATAGAAATTTGGTTGTTACTCCTTTAAAACAGTAGCTGCAACAATCTAAACAATTCTTTCATTCCTGTAAATTCCAGAAATTGAATATGATTTGGTATCCAAGACAAGCAAAACCATGATGATATTTTCTAGTGTTTTAAATAAGTATATTTCTTTTGTTATATATGCTGTGAAAACACTGTGATATTATGGAACCACTAATCAGGTAAGAGTTCTATATTCTCAAGTGTTACACCTGGAAAAGCCACCTAAAATTTGTAATTATTGTAGAGAAAATGTATTCTAACTGTATGGCATCCTGTTAGAGTGTCCCATAGGCATGCATACCTAAGTGTTTCCCATACTTGAAAATGCGTGTACAGTGTAAGCGTAAAAGATTAAAACCTACAGCCACCAGCATATGTAAATTATTTTTGTTATTGTTGTTAAATACAACTATACTTTTATTTTCAACTGCATTTACTGAAGATTTTAATCAATGTTATTAGAAATACGTTAATTCTCATGAGAATTTAACTTCCTACAAATATTTATTTACCAAAAATGGAACAGTAGGTTCTGATTGGTGTGTAACTTGAAAAGCTCATTGATGGTGAAAGGTAATTTGAAGTAATATGTCCCATTTTAGATTAAGGTAGAAACCTTTTCTTTATACATTTTTAATTGTGAGGTATTTACATGAAAACAAGTTCTATCTTTCAATTCTTGCAAATTCAAGGGTTTCTGATACTTTTCCTCTAACCCAAATCATGATGTGTCTCTGGTGTCGAAATTTGTTGCTGTGAAAACTATTGTCATATCAAGAAACAAGATTATTACCTCAGGTGAGGAATAATCAGGAGGAGTAGATAAACTCTTCTAGCTATGAGATACCATCAGATGGGCACAGAAAATATTTAAAAAAACAAAGCTTTTATATGTTTTTAAGATGATAAGATTTAATTGAAGATCCATCGATCTGTTTGTCTTCCCCTGGAAAAGATTATTATCTTCAGGTGTTGCATACATAGTGTGTAAAAACCCCCAAAGGAAGGTAGCTTGAGCAAAATCATTTTAAAAGTAATGGAGAGAGGAAATAATACTTTCTGCCAAAAAGCACTGTATGAGGGAATTTTCATACAATGTAAAGCAAATACTGTTCTTACTGGAGTGGTACATGTACTTGACCTTCAGTACACAGTTTTGTGCATCTGCAAGCTAGATCAGACAAAGGACAATGGCAGTGGCCAAGGCTTTGGGTGAATTACTAACAGTCACTGAAGAATCCTGGATCAATGAAAAATTCTAAATACATAGAAATATATTCTATTCTGCAAGGGATGCCATAATTTTGTTATGTTGCCTATTACATGAGAGAAATTAAAATTTTTATTCCCTTCTTAAAGTGCTGAAATCTCACTATTCACTATTTATGTCTGTCTGTGCAATCACTCTCAGACACTCAAGATCCCAGACCATCCTAACTGCTTACAGTGTTTGTTTCTCTCAATGCTACATTGGAAATCTTTCAAATTGCCAGCTAAAGTAATTAACTGTGACAGGACTAAAAATGATCCAGTAATAAATCCTAAAGAAGAGTTGGGAATAGAGGAATGACACTGAGTCTGGGAAGGGTAGGGTGGGAGGAAGGTGGTCTAGAGGAGGTTTGTCTTTGTTTCTCACCGTTCCACTCCACTTTAATTTTTTCTTACAGGCAATAAATGTAATTAATTTTCCCCAAGTGTATATTTCACATGACAGTAACTTGTAAGGGAGCCAACCAAAGTCAACCCAACATGTTCAGGTAATTACCTTAAAAAAATAGATACTGCTGACACACCTTGGATGACTAGGATATTGCATGACTCCTCCACGGGTCTTGTCACACACTAATATACCTGTTATATCTTTCTCACCTCTGACTCATTTAGAGAGTACAAGAAACGTCCAACTATGACTGCATACTGCCACATCTGAAACCATATGACTTCTCTGACACAGATAGGGGAAGAAGATGAGAGGGAGAAAGGGCAAGTGCAAGAGAGGAAGAGAAAAAGAAAGGAGTTGGCTGTGTCTCCCTTTGCTGTGCAGACTGGGGGTGGGATCCTCTTTCCTAAACCTCAGCATCTGGTGTCATTCAAGGCCACTTCATTACTCCTATGTTACTGCATCTGGCCTCTGAGCACCGCTCCAGAAAGGGATGTTTGCCTCATTTCTGCCATTCTTGTTTGGCTATCCTGAACAAATATATATATATATATATATAAATAATCTAATGGAATTGTAGGCACCTAGAACAAATGTATGTATCTTAAATTTCAACTCAATCCCACTCTTGTGTTTTTTCTATATTAATCTCAAACTGAATTCTGCTTTCATAAATCTACTTGTAGCTCTCTGGACAGTGGCCAGATTCAGTCTAGAAGCTGCTTAGTTGTATTACCAGGGCATTATATCTCCTCAATTCCAACTGGGGAAATGGATTGTTTCCCTACTGTTGCTCTCATCCTTTTCTTCCTTTTCTGCAGTGTGGGTATAGAAATTGCTGCCTTGGCCTAGGGTCAGGAAAGCACAGCAAATTAGATTCACACATCCAGACATCTCACTGTGTGGACAGAATAAAAGTGTGACTTGCTGGTCTTATCAGCATACATGTGCTGATTATGAAAACCAAAATAGAAATGTGTTGATTCTGACCCTGAGATGTAATGGAACAAAAATCTGGGCCTCCCTTATTAAACTTTCAGAATTAAACAATCCTTCATTTCTCTTGCTGTTTTGAGCAGCCTGACATTTTTCTTGAGACAATTTTGCCAAAACAAATAAGAACCAAGAAATGGAAATAATCTCTCGGAATATACACTGAAATTGTGCTTTTTTAATTCTAAGATTAGACTCGAAATAATTTACTTTTAACGAGATAGTTTAACAGAACAGTTATTCGTTAATTCAAAAACAAAATGCTCCATCTCATAATAAATTAGATGCTCTGTATCTTTTGAAGAAAGAATGAGGACTATAAATAAAAATATTATATCTATGATTGACATGGAAATTAATATGTTTTGAAAAAAATATAGCATGCCATGATAGGGCAGGTGCCCGTATTCTTTTGTTACTCATCAGTTCAGCTTCTGTTTTGTATTAAAAGTTATGTCTGTCTACATTTGCTGAGAAAAAAAAAAAGGACTTTCTCCCCCCTGCTTTTTTGTTGCTGGCACCTCACATTTAGAAAGGCTTTAGTTAAGTCCTATTTCTTCTAGTACCTGTATTATCAGTAGAATTGTACCTAAATTGTAATTTACTAGGCCATTCAGTTGCACAGCAGAAACAAGGGTGTAACTTGTTTCATGATGAAGCCAATATTATAAGAATATAGTGTTCTCTAACTGCAGGAGAAGGTGTAATTTGTCTTCAGATTTTTTATGGTGGAGCTATATCACAAGAAAGATTGAGATGGCAAAGCTTTTGTTATCGTTGGTTGATTTTTCTAAGCTTGCTAATAGTGGGAAATAAGCATTTTGTGTGAATTGAAACTTACCACACCACGACTTTTACAATCAGTCTTCTGAAGCCATCTGAAATACTAGTACTTGACATTATCTTGCATGTCCATTCACAAATTAGTTTAATATCAGTTATGTTTGCAGCCTCTTCAGTTTCCTACTACTGCCCAGTCACTGGCTCTGCTAAGCTCAGTTAAGGACAATAAATGGACTTGTCCAATGTGTTTCAAATCATTCACAAGATTCTGGAACTTTCTTTATTCCCCTTTAAGCATTTTGAGAGGGAGGCTGTCATCTGCTGAGGCAATACTGCCACAGAAGTTTGAATGAACTAAGACTGCAAAAAAAAGTATATTTATAAGTAATCCTAAAGTTACAATCATACTCACCATCACATTCCTCAAGGTACAGAAAGAGTGTGGGAGATCAGATGTAAAGGTTACATTGGCAGCTGCAGGGCAGAACTGATGAGCTCTGCTGTCCTGTGCTGTGTAGCTGTCCTGAAGCAGCTGATGAGCTGGAACTTTTATTCCTGAGGGTGTAAAGGACATGGATGTAGTTCAGAGCCTGTGCTTGGTCTCATACTGTTGCAGCCACATTTTTACCAGTGCTGTTTAAAACTAGAGTAGGCACGTCCATATAAACACACAGGTATAAACTTGTATAAGCAACCAAAAAGCATTAGGTGATTTACAAGATATAAGTAATATAGTTCTTATTATTTAAATGTCTGTTAATAATAATATTCTTGTCCATTTCCCATCAGAGTCCCTGTTTTCAGCAACTTGTTTCTCTTTGACATACAGTTGCTGTCCTTGTGATGATGTTGTGTAGAAAGCAATTAACATGCAGACCATTCACTATTTGTGAAGATAGCTGTAAAGGCACTGGCACACAATTTCACAAAAAAATATTTGTGCCTGTTCTCTGGTAATTTGTATTATTCCTTAAAAAAAAAAAAGACCAATCAACAAAATCTCTAAGTTACTGTGAAAAAGATTTAGGAATTGAACTATGCTCCTGTTTGAAAATTTTAAAATCTGCAATAGTATAATTCTCAATCCTGAATATGTCCCTTAATCTCAGTACTTTAGGGGTGACTGTGAATACACATGTATTCCTTCATGCTGAAGTGACTGTGAAGAGACAAGAGGGAAGAGAGGAATTGTCATTTGTTCCTCTTTTCTTGCACACTTCCATTCTTCTATGCTATAACATCAGATACACCTCCCATTTAAATACCAAGAAAAACATTTTAATTTGTTTGGCTTTGCATATGAGTTGTGCATTTAAGTCCAAGAGTAGAATGTGACCCTAATTGCCAATTTCAGATCTCTACTTTTATTCTTACTTTTTATATTATCTTAGAATCCATCACACCAAATCTAATACTTGTGTAAAACTTATGCCAGTATATTCATTCTACTCTCATAACCATTGAGCCTTTGCTCTTGATGTTTTATGTTTAATTAAGTCTGTTATTAAATATGACCTTCTAGATTTATTTGGAAGCTCTTTTCCTGTGTTTAGTAACTGTATTCTGTTCTTTGCTTCCCAAAGAAATTGAATGCCCTTATTGCAATTCTTTTGCTAGCAGACAAGTTAGAATATTTTAGCAACTCTGATAACCATTCTCGATATTCACAAAAATGCATTAGTTTTACCAAATAAATCACTATTACTGTCTCAGCAATTGTGTTGTCCGACGAATAGAACAGAGCTCTTCTTCAAGCTTTCTAGCATTTCTCCTTTCCTATAGTTTACCTTAAACTATAGTTTGCAAGTACCATTTTGTCTTTTTGATTTAAATCATTGAATTAAAACAAAATATTATTTACAACCTAGAAGTCATCTGTCTCTGAGCTGTTATAATCTAATTAGAAATATAGTTTGAGGGTTCCTTTGCTCATAATAAATTAAAATAAAATAAAATAAAATAAATTAATTTTTAAAAAAGAAAAACTGAGAGTTGCTATCATATTACAAGATCAAAGACATTGAGAAAAATCTACTCTGCTGAACTACTCTACAGCAATATGTAAATAATAAGTATTTTGGAAGTAAGAGTAAAATCAGGTTGCATAACATATACGTAACATAATTAAAGACCATATAAAGGAATAGTACAAGTAGCCATGACTAAAATTGTAAGGACTGAAAAGAATGTCTTGCAATTTAAAAGAGACAAAAAATCATAAGGAAAACTTTAGGAATATATTGAAAGTAAGAAAGGAGCACAAGGAATAATGTGTAACAAAGAAAATAGTGAATGATACAGAGGAGAACATTCTTTTTTATTTTTAATCTTTCTAGGAAAAGTGAACTGTGACAAGATTCATTAAGTTAATTTAAAATTTGAGTAGAAATTTAGTTGAAAATACAGAAAGAAGAGTTTAAAGAATCTTGAGATAACATAGAGGCATGCAAGTTCAGAGAGCCTGATTATTGTGTCTGATAAACTAACCAAAGCACTCTTTGAATGATCAAAGTTTATCTCTAAAATTTCTCTAAGAACAGACAAGGTATCCCTGGGCTGAAAAAAAATCAGAATCTAAAAGAGTAAAAAAGATATCTTGAGGAATCCTGGATAAATCAGTGTACTTCAAGTGCCTTGAAGTATTCTTAAACCAATGAGAAAATATTTGCAGAAAACTAAATGCTGATGAAGTGACAGAAAAAAAGAAAATGTAGGCTTTTCCAGATCATGACAAATGAGTCGAAATTCATTCTTTGACATGAAGGGAAGAGGAAATAGATGTTATGTAGAGAGAAACAGAAGTGTTTGAATAATTTTGGCACTATCCTACATGACATCACAGTAAAAAGGTACTGAAATTTTCACTGGAAATTTTGAAAACTAATTGATTTTTGCTGGGGTCAGGCAATTGAATCTATCTCATTGCAGAGGCTGGACTGGCTAATTTCTGAGGGCTTGATTAATCCTGAAGTTCTTGGTTGGTATCCTAGAATCAGCCACCCTTCACGCTGCATTGTGTGAAAAAGGAATAATAGTGGGATTTTGGCAAAAATACGATTGCTTTTGCACATTCTTGTGAAGAGCACATTGATTGAGGCCACTTTCTCCCCATATTTCTGGAATCTATAGGCTACTAGTTGCAGTCTGAAGAGGTGACTAGGATATATAAAGACATACTCGCGAATAAGCTTGTAACCTGTTTGCCAGCTTGTCAAAGTGGAACTGCATTCAGTGCAGGTTAAATATTGAATTCAGGGCAGTTTTACAGGTAGTGTTGAATACTCTGTTGCCAGGATAATTTTTTTCCCAGTATCTAACACATAACAGCTAATATAAACCTGATTTATCCACTACATTGAACATAAATGAAGCTGGCTTTAATAAGTGTCATATATTTAGGTACACAGTGGATGTATCAAAAAAGAAAAAAAAATGCCTGACAAGCACAACATTCACAAATATTCACAAATTACTCACAATGATTTTTTTCTACACCTTTCTTTTCATGGAAGTGAGTTTTTTTCCTTGACATTTTATCTAAATTTGCAAGTATATGGTATTACCATTATTCTAAAATCAGACTCATAGAAAAAAAAATGCACCGTAAAAATACAGATTTACATGACACTGTGAGGTAATCAAACTCGCAGGTGAATAGAGAAGCAAGGGGACTAAAGCAGCAAACATTATAAAACCTCAAACTTTCAAATGCAGGTCTACTGAACAAAAATTGTTCTGTTTGCATTGTTTTGCTCCAGTTACCGAAACAATTTATGTACAGTGCCTGAGCAAGCTCTTATTATTTTTGCTCTGATAAAGATACCAGAACCTGATATCCTACACTGCAAAAGTTCAAAGACACGTGAGTTATCCTAGATGCTTTGGATCTTGAGCTTTGGATATCTGATGAAGAAGGCAATGATATCCAGACATGAATTAATTGAAGTATTGATTAAGGAAGCAGCTAGTCTAACAATGTGTAACATCTTTACTTTAAGAAAAGAAAATTTTTTGCTATCTTTACAAGCATACTGAATTAAGTTTAATACATTCCAACATGTGAATGAAAAAAATATTATTTTATTGATCTGTATAGCATCTAAATTTTCAGAAGGTAGGGGTCTTTCTTTAACAATACCTTTTGTAATGTTTTTCTGGTCAACAAAAGAAAAATTTAGTTGGTTTCCTTATGATTTAAAACCTGCTTGCCTAGTTTTGTATAAAACACATTTTACAAGAATCTCATAATTCTCTGCTTTGTTTTAAAAAATTTATGATCTACAATATTACTGAGTCAAATTCAGACATCTTCCTCATATCCTAGAGTTAGTCTAAATTGAGAAACAAATTTTATATCTTGTAAGAACATGGATTTTGAATCATATCTTTCCTTATGTATGATTATGAAAGCAAAATAAAGCCACATATGTGAGGCAATCACAGTAACAGAGCCCCTATCAAAATTCTGGCATTAGAACAGACTTGTTTTCTGATTAAAATTAACCAGCTTTTTTGATCTGTATCTCAAGGGCACACAGACAAATAAAAACTCTCCTTCATCCCCCAAATTATTACTTCATGTTTGTTTTCTTCTCTTTGTTTCAAGCACCTAACACTAGCTGGGAAAAATTTATAGTATAATTCTCTCTTTTTAATTATTCAAACAGTCTAAAGCTTCCAATTTTCCAGCCAAATTCTTAGTCTCTGCATGAGGTAAATTTTATTTGCAAACATAGAGCAAGTAAAGTAAATCTTTAGCCCTTCTTAATTTTCTTATGAGGGCAACATTTTGAAAAGGCAATAGCCAAAAATTGTAAAGTGTAATTTGTTGTAGAAAATGTAATTCAGGAGAACTTTGCACAAAATTTTTCCAGACATGGTTGGTTTGACTTGGCTGAGTTGTTATTATAAAGTGTGCTTTTTTCTGGTTTTGTTTGTTTGTTCATTTGGTTGATTGGTTGGTTTTTGCTATGCTCTACTGACTTTTTCTTGCTCTTATTAAAACAAATGGGTTTGTCAGTTAGCAGAGGTGGACTGATATTTAGGTTAATGAGTGTTTAGTTCATAAATTAGTGTGCATTAATTCTTCATGTAATATTAGAATTTAGTGTGAATGTTTTCCCTTTTTTTATAAGAATCTATTCAAATTCTGCCTATTCCCTTCAATCACTCACAAAATCTATCATATTTTCTACTTATTGTAACATGGTAAATGCAGGAGTTTCCTGTATATGAACAGAAGGATTCATAAGGATTTCAGTTAAAGGAAGAGTAGGTTGAGCTATTCACAAAATACGTTATTTGGGTTTGCTAGATGAAGAGGAAAAGAGTTTAATTGATGCATTGTTAAGTCAGATCCTGTACAGCATCTGAACAGGTGGAGATGAGCAAAACTAGAACTATAGTTCTGAGATTTCTAGTAGATCACAAATGGCTCCAAATATTTTCCTTAAAGCATAAAAAATCTCAAGAAAGGAATTAAATCAGCTCTGCTGAAGTCTGAACTTAACAAAGAGCTGGATTGCACGTTCTGCTTGGTATCAGTCTCAGCCATG